CCCCGTAGGTTATTTCCCGATTCCTACCGGAAAGTTATTTCGACGTTCTTGGAAGCTACTTCTGGCTTCTCTAGGAAGGTTCTCCCGTCCTCTACTGTCAGTTTTGTTTTCAGCTTCCAAGAAACTTCAGGGATGCTTCCAGAGTTTTATTGTTTTTCTAATAGCTTCAAGAAAAGTGCAGGAACTTTTAAGGAACTTTTGTTAAAATTTGAGAACCTGCGATGTTCAGAAAAGTCCAGAGAACTCCAATGAACTAAAGAAAACATCAGACATATTTTGGAAAAAAAATTTCAAGTCCAAAGAACTTCAGCGCAATTTAATGGTATTCAGGACAGTTTCATTTGTTTCAAAGAAGATTAGAGATTTTCCGGTAGTTTCATTATAATCAGGGAAGTTCCAAATACTTCTAGGATGATCAGAAGAGAACTACAAAACAGCACAAATAGCTTCAGGAAAATTGATAGAACTTTCAAGGAGGATGATGGGATATTCCGAAGTGTATTTCAGGAATATTCTGAAAACTTCAGGTACATTGCGGAGTCGTCAGGCATGTTTTATAAATATCAGGAAAATTTATGAATGAAAAATTTAGAACATGTAACGAACTTCAGGGAATGTTGTTCGAACACCCCCTTTCTTCCGGCATTTTTCCCAACTTCTCCTGGAAATTTCTTCCGACTTCCTCCAAAAGTTTATTCCAATCTACCTTACGATGTTTCTTCCAGCGTTTCTAGGAAGCTTCATCCGTCTTCTCAAAAAAGGTTCAATTAAACTTCTACCGAATGTATCTGTAGACGTTTATTTCGCCTTCTTCTGGAAATTTCTCCAGAAGTGATAAGTTCCATGTGTTTTTTTTAGACTTCTAATGTAAAGTTTTTCTGAGCTTCTTCTGAGCTTCCCCTGGAAATGACTACTCCTGGTATTTAATTCCAAATTCCGAAAATTTTCTGGCTTCCTATGGATACATACATACATACATACATTTATTTGTACAACATCACATTTAAGATAAGACATAATCAACAATAGTACGCCACAATACTCGGTTTGCGGCTGCCGCTCTCCATCCCATCCTCGGTCATGCCCAATGCTCGCTAGATCACGCTCTACCTGGTCCGCCCATCGTGCTCTCTGCGCTCCACGCCTTCTTGTGCCAACCGAATCAGTAGCGAACACCCTGCAAAGTTGGGTTGTTATCCGGCATTCTTGCAACATGCCCTGCCCACCGCATCCTTCCGGCTTTGGCCACCTTCTGGATGCTGGGTTCGCCGTAGAGTACAGCGAGCTCGTGGTTCATTCTTCGCCGCCACTCACCGTTCTCCTGCACACCGCCGAAGATCGTCCTTAGCACACGTCGCTCGAAAACTCCGAGTGCTTGCAGGTCCTCCTCGAGCATAGTCCATGTCTCGTGTCCACCACCGGTCTTATTAGCTTTCTGTACATGGTACATTTGGTGCGGGGGTGAATCTTTTTTGACCGTAGTTTCTTCTGGAGCCCGTAGTAGGCACGACTTCCACTGATGATGCGCCTTCGTATTTCTCGACTCACATTGTTGTCAGCCGTCATTAAGGATCCAAGGTAAACGAATTCCTCCACTACCTCGAAAGTATCCCCGTCTATCGTGACATTACTTCCTAGACGAATCCTGTCATGTTCGGTTCCGCCTACTAGCATGTACTTTGTTTTTGATGCACTCACCACCAGTCCGACCTTTGCTGCTTCGTGTTGCAGGCGGGTGTATAGTTCTACCACCGTTCCAAATGTTCTTGCGATAATGTCCATGTCGTCCGCAAAGCACACAAATTGACCGGATTTCGTGAAAATCGTACCCCGGCTGTTGAGCCCGGCTCGTCGCATTACACCTTCTAGAGCGATGTTGAAGAGTAGGCATGAGAGTCCGTCACCTTGTCGCAGTCCCCGGCGACATTCGAATGAACTGGATAGTTCACCCGAAACCCTTACGCAGTTTTGCACACCGTCCATCGTTGCTTTGATCAGTCTGATCAGCTTCCCAGGAAAGCCGTTCTCGTCCATGATTTTCCATAGCTCTGTGCGGTCGATACTGTCGTATGCCGCCTTAAAGTCGATGAACAAATGATGCGTTGGGACCTGGCATTTCTGGAGGATTTGCCGTACGGTGAAGATCTGGTCCGTTGTCGATCGGCCGTCAATGAAGCCGGCTTGATAACTTCCCACGAACTCGGTCATTTTAGGTGATAGACGACGGAAGATGATCTGGGATAGCACTTTGTAGGCGGCATTCAAAATGGTGATCGCTCTAAAGTTCTCACATTCCAAATGGTCGCCTTTCTTGTGAATGGGGCAGATTACCCCCTCCTTCCACTCCTCCGGTAGCTGTTCTGTTTCCCAGATCCTGACTATCATCCGGTGCAGGCAGGTGGGCAACTTTTCTGGGCCCTTCTTGATGAGTTCGGCTGCAATACCATCCTTACCAGCTGCTTTGTTGTTTTTGAGCTGCTAAATGGAGTCCTTAACTTCCCTCAGCGTGGGAGTTGGGTCAGTTCTGTCCTCTGCTGCACTGACGTAGTCGTTTCCTCCATTGCGCTGGTCTCCCGTGCCTACGTTCTCTTCGCCATTCAGGTGCGCATCGAAGAGCTGCTTCCACCTTTCAATCACCTCAAGGCCGTCCGTCAAGAGGCTCCCGTCCTTATCCTTGCACATTTCGGCTCACGGCACGAAGCCGTTGCGGGATGCGTTGAGCTTCTGGTAGAACTTCCGTGTTTCTTGGGAACGGCACAGCAGTTCCATTTCCTCGCACTCCGCTTCTTCCAGGCGGCGTTTTTTCTCCCGAAAGATGCGGGTCTGCTGTTTCCGCTTCTGTTTATACCGTTCCACGTTCTGTCGGGTTCCATGCTGCAGCATTACCGCCCGCGCTGCGTTCTTCTCCTCCAAAATCGCTCTGCACTCCTCGTCGAACCATTCATTCCGTCGACTTCTTTCCACGTACCCGATGGTGCTCTCGGCTGCGTCGGTGATGGCTGCTTTTACTGTACTCCAGCAGTCCTCTAGAGGGGGCACATCGAGCTCGCTGCCTCGAGATTCTGCGCGTATGCTAAGACGACATCCGGTTGCTTCAGTCGCTCTAGGTTGTACCGTGGCGGGCGTCGGTACCGTACATTGTTGATGACGGAAAATTTTGGGCGCAGTTTGACCATCACCAGGTAGTGGTCAGAGTCGATGTTAGCGCCACGATAGGTCCTGACGTCGATAATGTCGGAGAAGTGCCGTCCATCAATCAGAACGTGGTCGATTTGCGATCCCGTCTGCTGTGGTGATCTCCAGGTGTAACGATAAGGGAGGCTGTGTTGGAAAAAGGTGCTACGTATGGCCATGTTCTTGGAGGCGGCGAAATCGATGAGTCGTAGGTCGTTCCCGTTCGTCAGCTGGTGGGCGCTGAACTTTCCAATCGTCAGTCTGAATTCCTCCTCCTGGCCTACCTGAGCGTTTAGATCTCCTATGATGATCTTGACGTCGTGGCAGCGTCCTTGTCATCATCAGTGCTTCCGGAGTGAGGGCTGTGCACGTTGATTATGCTAAAGTTGAAGAATCGGCCCTTGATCCTCAACCTGCACATTCTTTCGTCGACCGGGCACCAACCACTGATGATGGCGCGCTTCTGCATTTCGCACATCACGATGAAAGCTGTGCCCAGCTCGCGTGTGTTGCCGCAACTCTGGTAGATGGTATGATTACCTCTGAACGTTCGCACCATGGATCCTGTCCAACACACCTCCTGCAGCGCTACGATGCCGAATCCGCGGTCCTTCAGTAGATTGGCGAGTATTCGGGTGCTCCCGATGAAATTGAGAGATCGACAGTTCCACGTGCCGAGTTTCCAATCGCAAGTCCTATTTCGTCGCTGGGGTCGTTGCCGTTGGTCTCGGTTCGTATTCCTCTGTTGCTGATTTTCCGTTGCAATGCTTAACTTTCCGGAGGACCAGGGTGCACAGTTGTGCTTAGAGTCCTTCACTGGCACTCGGACGTAGATCAGCCGCCCCTAACATGGGAACAGACGCTGTTGTGAGCCGCTCCTCCTGGAGAACAGACGCTCAGACTTGCCTTTAATAACGGCAACAATATGAAATTAATTTCAAAAATAAAATACCGATTTTTTTAAACATTTGATACCGATAATCTTGAAAACAATCTGGCAGCGCTGGGCAGCAGTCGACAGCAGCCAGCAGTTCCTCTCGATGTGTTTATATACAGCTATCCCCCGAAGAACGCGTTACCAACTAAGTTGCACCCACCGCTTTTTCTCGGTGGGGTTTTAATCAATCGGTCTGATTTTTTGCATGTGAGTAGTGTCAATGGAGAACTAGTCACTCGCAGAAAATCAGAGCGCTTGGTTGAAAACCCACCGAGACAAAGCGGTGGGTAGAACTCAGTGGGTAACGCGTTCTTCGGAGAAAGCTGTACAGTCAAATTTCGCTCGTTGGGCTATCTTTAAGTAGGCTACGTTCTAGTTGGGCTCCCGTTAGTTGGGCTGTAGCCAACTTAAATCGAAGTCAAACGTCATTTCTGACAGTGCTGATTCATTTTCGAGGGGCTCATGTTTGAACAATTTGCCGCTTGACAGCTCAGCCCAACTAACAAATGCCTTTCACTAAGTAGGCTACGAGTTTAGCCCAACGAGCGAAAGTTGGCTGTACTCTATAGTAGAAATCCTCAGAGAACGAAATGAGCGGAGATAATGTTTTGAACCAAATGAACTGTCAAAATATGATCCAATCGAACATTCCTATTAGATTTGTTCCGATGATTTCTTATTCATAATGGACGGAGAAGTTCGATATTTTAAAGTCCGTCTAGAACTCAAGTTTTTGAATTATACCAAATCACTTAACAGCAAATCGTCTTTCTTACCCTGTTGGCATAGATACAGTCTTCAATCGCACATTCTAGCATTTAAAACTTCCTTCAAATGTGATCTTAACATGTTCATTTTTTTGCACCTCACCCAAACCCAAACACAACAGACCTACCGCGACCGCAAGACACTGGAATTCACCTGCCACACCGCGTTCTTCGTGTCCATTGTCGTCGTCCAGTGGGCCGATTTGATCATCTGTAAGACTCGCCGTAACTCGATTTTCCACCAGGGCATGAGAAACTGGGCGCTCAACTTCGGTCTCGTGTTCGAGACGATACTGGCTGCGGTCCTATCCTACACCCCCGGAATGGACAAGGGCCTGCGCATGTTCCCACTCAAGTGAGTATCGATTTGTTGGATCGATCGTTTCCGATCAGCGATTATCATCTTTTTCTAATGTTTACCTCCTCCCACGCAGATTCGTTTGGTGGCTGCCAGCCTTGCCGTTCAGCTTGTCCATCTTCGTGTACGATGAAATTCGTCGTTTCTACTTGAGACGCAACCCAGGCGGCTGGTTAGAGCAAGAAACGTACTATTAGGTCAACAAATTTATATTTAAAAAGATTAATTAAAAAGAAGGAAAAACCGAAAAAGGAGATAAAAAAGAACAGTAAAAAAAATAACAAAAAATGAGCATAAAAAAGTAATTATATTTTTTTAATTATTAAATTTATATAAAGTTATAAATTATGATTTCCACACAGACACACACAAACACACGAAGAAAAAGTAAGAAGATGAAATACTAGCGAAAACAAAAATCGTAAAGAAGATAAGAAGCAGTATCTCCCGTCCTCATCGAACTCAATTCCCCCTGTGCACATTCACACATAAAAGAAAGCCCCCCGATACCCCCCGCTCCCCTCCCCCCCCCTTCGCATCTATAGGTATCTCACGCACACACACACTCCCACACGCGTATGGATGTTCGTACATCTGTCTGTCGTCATCAATCTTGAAGAGATATAAATTTGTGTAATAATTGGAGAAGAGAGTCACACGCGCCAAAACACCAGCCAGCTCGTCGTCGTCGTCATCGTTGTTTGTCGTACAAAAACCAAGTGAGGAAGTGATGCCATACAGCAGCAGCGTGCCTAATGTAACATGAGTAATACAAAACAAAACGCGAGCGACTTCGGTTGAACCAACACATTCGCACCTCCCCCTTTAAACAACCCACCCACGTTCACCTGCTCACACAAACACACACACACATTCACATACACACACATATACGCCAGTTGCGCATTTTCGGAGCAGCTAATCGTTAATGAAGAAAAATCGCGCGTTCGTGTTAGTTTTTAACCAGGCAGAGACTTTAGAAGCCTAAACAAAAGGGAAGAGAGGACATTTTACTAACTAATAAAAAAAAAAAAGCAAAAGGAAAACTAAAGTATAATCCGTGTGCGCTACCTTTTGTCACAGTTGTCGGCACTTGCGTTTGCGTTTTCCGGATGGGCGCACATTCACATATAGCAGAGTTACACAACATGCCCCCCAGGCCCCGCCCACCCGCGCATACACGAAGTGTGTGTGTGTGTCGTGTGGATGGTCTCGTTCGCCATACTGACTAATGTTCGTCGTGTACACACATACATACAAACGCGCATACATACATTCACAACTTCTCGTGCGCTCGGCAATGCACTACCACTCTCCATCGGAAAAGCCCCACCCTCCCTTCCACCCTTTTTGTCTGTCTCTGTCTCTCTTTGCTATTCCTCACTCTCATCTCGTACTATCCCGCCGCGCTTTCCCGCGATACCCCCGAATCCCCCTTTTCGCCCCCTGTCCCCTAAACAGCCGCCACCCCTCTCCCCTCTCTATCTTTCATCATTCTCTTATTATTAATAAATTAAAAATAAAAAAGAAATGAAATCAACTCGTTGTTAGTTACAAAGAAAAGCTAATTTAAAAAATTTAAAAATAATGAAGAAACTCTAGAAGTAGTGAGAAGAATCAACAAAGAACTAAAATTTAGTAGAAGCAAACTAAGAAGAAAAAAAAAACAAGGATAAGCGCAAGGAAAAATTGTTAACGAAAGTGAAGTGAATATATTAGAAGAGAATAAAAGTTGTTTTAAAGATTGTTTTTATTCCTTCTCTCGTGTTGGTGTATACTCCTTTCCCGTCGAATGTTTTCCCCTTCCTTTTTAGTTTCAACCTCCTTCTTCAGTTTTGTTGTGTCATCTTTCAGTTTCCCTGTTCCCCCTTCCTTTCCCCTACTATCGTAAAATGTGTTTTCTCGTTTACCATTTCTCATAGAAGATCGCTTCCCACCTTCCCGTGGGTTGGTTCCATCGTCTTCCTCCCAAAGAGGGCCGTGTCCAGCCGGGGAGACTTTACCAAGTTTCCCCGCTGTCGAGCAACTAATCCCCAGCCCGCCCTTCCCGGGAGAAGACACATTTAAACAAAAAAAAAAAACGAATGGAACCTTTTTCCCCTCAGGAGGAAGCCCGGAAGTGGTCGGTCGATTTTTAATGAGCTCTTATTTATTAGTGCATAAAACTGAAGATAAGTAAAACAAGCGAAAATTTGTTGATTTTTAGCAGAAACCATAAACCAACAATTTCTGAAAACAAACAAGCAGATCTACAACAACCGACAACTACAACAACAGTAAGCTGCAGAATAAAATCCAAGCGTCTAATATAAAAAAGTACATAGAAAGCAGACAAAAAAAAAGTAAGCAACGCGTCACATAAAACTGCCCGATTGTTGTAAACTAATTAAAAAAGAAAAAAAAAAAACGAAATGAAAAAAAGTATTTCAGCATACAAAAAAAAAGAAGAAGAAAAACCATTTAAATGTAAAGTGAAAAACCCGCAGATAAACCAAGTTAGCTAAATTTAAAGAAAAAGCAGGCTATTTGAATTAATACCAATAAATAAAGGAAACAAGAAGAAAAACTCGTTATAACAGCTGTAGAACAGATACAACAGAAAAAAGTACACACCCACACAGAAATTTACACAGAAACATACACGGAACAGACAGAAATAAAGAAACAAGAAATACACACACACGTACACACACTGAATAAGATTAAGATTAAAAAGGTAACAATATTTCTCTTCATGAAACCAAAACAAGAAAAGAAAAAAAAACAAACAAACACACGAAAATCGAATCCAATTGAAACAAAAGAAAATACCCCCCCCACACACACACTCACACGCAAACCGCAAGTAAATTGATTAAGAAAACAACAACAAAAAAAAAGCGATTGCAACTAAACAACCAACCAACACAAACACAAACACACACACACATACGCGCAGAAGACATTTTCAAAAACAAAACCAAGAATGATGCAAAAGAAGACGTAGAATGATAAGACAACAACCGGCAGATACGAAGAAGAAAAAGAAGATTAAGAAGAAGAAGAAGAAGCAGAATTGTCAAGAATAAAAAATCAGAACAATAGTATTTAACAAAAACGACAAAAAATGGTAAACTGGCGTTTTTTCTGTGCCCCGAGAGAGGTGGTGGGTATCACGTTCCTTGACTTCCACCGATTGATAGGCGGGTCAAAATCGTAGGTCGTTCGACTGTGAAGAGATCATCAGCACGATAAATCCTAGGGCTCATTAACTTGATGCTTGATGGGCGATAATAAGACATTGGAGGGGTGTCGGATTTGAATACATTGTGCTGTCAATTTTCAGATTTGTGCTGTGAGCATGGTGTCAGTTTGTTTTGATTTTTAGAATGGATGTGACAGTCGGATTAGCGAGTTAAACCCCGATGGTCCGGCCATGATTTTGTCGGATTAGCGGGGGGATACTGTAATGATGTCTAGTTTAGACACATGAGCTTCTGTAACATGTAAGAATAGTAGACTAAGGTGGGGTACAAGTTTGACCTTTTATTTTTCTCTCTTAGGGACCTAAAACCACTGCGACCAGTAATTTGATCTATTGTAGTATATCCAGTGTCTTTAGTTTAGTGCATATCATATTACTTCATCACGGTTGAGAAATGATAAAGTATTCAATTTTTTAAATGTTGTCATTATTGCATTTATCGCAAGGATCCGACTCTAATTGAAAGGTCTCGCTCTTTATACCCTTCGGAGTGTTGAAACACCCTCCAAAGGCGCGCCCCTATGTCAGTCAAAATTGGATTCCTTAGCAACAAAATGAAGGAATGACACCGATAATGACCATGCATCAGAACCCTAGTCTTAACCACTTCAAACTAGAGATCAACAAATAGAAGATAAGGAATCACATAGATGAATACTAACCTCCCTTAGCTCAGTCGGTGAAGGCACAGCTACAAAGTAAGACCATGCTGGAGGTGGCTGGGTTCAATTCCCGGTCCGGTCTAGGAATTTTTCAGGTTGGATAATTTCTCGACTTCCCTGGGTAGAGTATGATTGTGCTTGCCTTGCCAGCTTGCCACACAATTATACTAATGCAAAAATGGTACAGGCATCGAAAGCTCTCAATTAATAACTGTTGAAGTGCATCTAGAACACTAAGTTAAGAGCAATAAGCTAATATGCCATATGTTATGTACTCAATTTCTCTTGGGGTAGATTCATTGCCCTTACCACAACAGCACTGACGAAAACCTACCTTTGGATCGAGCCACCGACAGCTATGCACTTCACAGCCACCAGCGTATGGATCGAAGAGTCACCGTTGGCTGTACACGCTACAGCCACCAGCGACGGGATGCCTCTCTCAAACGAAGGACCACGACACAACTCGTGATCAAGCCACCGACAGCTGTGCACCTCACAGCCACCAGTAGTGGGACGATGAGCCACTGACAGCTGTGCACTGCACACCACAGCTACCAGCGATGGGACGATGCACCGTTGGCTGCGCACACCCCAACTAACAATTTTCACAATGTAAACGCTTTACTCATTTCATTTATACAGCCTCAAGCTGTATTCAAACGTTATACGATATGAGGAAACCTTTACTCAACCTCTATACAAGCAAATCTGGCGAACTTAGTCAGCTACTTATGGCTGTTGGAACGGTCGGGAGAAGCTCTTATTGCATATCCATTAACGCTTCTATACAGCTGTTATCCTGCTGTTTAGTTGTGTGTGAACTTGAAAGGCGCTTATTCATACTTTTCCCGGTTATCCAATAATCACTACACAGCTTTCTCTTGTAGCCGGGTTTAAAAACTGTTTACGCTTTTTTATGAAGGAATTTATTGAGTTTATTTTGCTGTGAATAATTAATCGAAATTAGTTACAAATCATCACCAAATTATTTACCCTGCACCGGAACCTGGAATCGAACTCGAGACGACCTCTTTGGCAAACCTTGACACTACCAACTGTGCTACGCCAACACTTTGAACTTATGTAAACAAATCAACATTCCCTTCTACAACAAAATCGCTGAGTAGAGGCTTTATAATAGTGCACACTGCACTCTGCTCTCGACTAGTTATAAAAGAGCAGAGTAAAAGCTGTAAAACTGCACACGTCTAAAAATAAACCTAGTTGACTGTGAAAATGCTTCCGAAGTTGCTCTAACACAGTTATAGAAGTGACATTAGCGTTTATTGGCTGATGTTTTTCAGTGCGACTGACAAATTGAATAATGGTTGTGAGAAAGTTGAGTAAACGCTCTCCAAAACTATTTTGCTAGCTTTTGCTTGTAGCTGTATCTGCAGCTTCTTTTCAGGTACTTTACAGCACAACGCTGGAAAAATTGGCTTACAAAGCTGAAAATGTTAGTTGGGACCACAGCGGACAGCGTAGGAATGGGTCGCGATGGGTCGCTGATAACTCTTCAGCCACCAGCCGTTGAGCTGCCAACAGCTGTAACCACTACAGCCACCAGCGCAGTAAACCTCTCTCTCTCTCTCTCTCTCTCTCTCTCTCTCTCTCTCTCTCTCTCTCACAGATGCGTCTTTTCAACTTTAATTCCTTTGAATTTTCAAATATTATTAATTACAGTTCCTAGTCCTATCAGGCCTGTTTTAAGAATGACCACCTTGGTGGGATTGGTTTGTTTTAAATTTGAAAAAGAAGACTACTTATAACTACTATTTACAACTACAACTAACCTACAACTACTATATACACCTAATCTACTATATACAAATTGCTTATCAAAGCATGTTCTGATAAATTACATTTTTGTGCAAATTTAGTCTTAATTTCGTTAATTCGGGAATCTATTTTGGCAATGCCTGCCTCTTCATGTAAATTTGTTTTTCTAGTGTCGAAAGGACGATCAAGAACCATCCTCAGCACTCTATTCTGAGCGGTTTGGATTTTGTTCCTGTGGGTCTGTGCACATGATTCCCACACCGGAGCTGCGTAGAGGATCGCAGGTGCTATGATTTGTTTGTAGACGGCCAGTTTGTTCACCCTTGAGAGGCGGGATCTTCGGCAAATCAGCGGATACAGACACCTAACCAATGCAGAACACTTGATTACGGTTTATTCCACATGCGAACGGAAGAGGAGCTTTTCATCGAACAACATCCCGAGATAGGTTACTTCGGCGGACCACTCAACCCTTGTGCCATCCATGATTACAGTACAAGATGGAGCCGGTTTCAGTTTGGGCGATTGCCGATGGAGGAACATGATCGCTTGTGTTTTGGAAGCATTGATTTTGATTTTCCACGTGGTGGCATAATCAGCAAAGGCGTTAAGGCATCGTTGAAGTTTGTTCGTTATTTCGCGAGGCATCCTTCCTTTGACGGCTATTGCAGTATCATCTGTGAACAGGAAAAACACGCAACCGTCACCGAGGGGAGGAATGTCGGAAGTATAAATGCTGTAAAGCAAGGGGCCCAGCAGACTTCCTTGCGGGACACTTGCTGGGATGGAAAAAGTGTCTGAAAGACAACCATTCAACGATACCTTAAACGACCTTTGCTGAAGGTAGTTACGGGTGATTTTAGCCAGATGTAATGGGAAGTTGAAGTTACAAAGCTTGTACACAAACATTGTCAAACGCCATGGCTGTGGACTTGGATACAGCTTTGTTACTTCGGATGTTATTCATCACCCGCACTAGCTGGTGATTGGTGGAGTGCCCCTTTCTGAATCCAAACTGTTCCGGAAGGAGAATGTTGTTTTCCTCGACAAACTTGTGCAAACGATTGAGAATCAGTTTCTCGAACAATTTGCTCAGCGCTGAAAGGAGGCTGATTGGTCTGTAGCTTGAAGGCAATGTTGGATCCTTACCGGGCTTGCGGATTGGTATGATTTTTGCTACTTTCCAGATGCTTGGAAAGTAGTGCAGTTCCAAGCATCTGTTGAAGATAGCGGTTAGAAGAGACTGCACTTTCATGCTGAGTCTCTTCAAGATCAAGTTGAATATACCGTCAAACCCGGGAGCCTTCATGTTCTTGGTGCATTTCAGCGCTGAGCAAATCTGTTGTACTGTAATCATATCCACCGGTGGCACGA